TATTTCCAAAAATGTGATAGTAATAGGTTACTGTAACTAGTGCAGATTTCTACAAATTTAGAAATCATCTGCAAAAAAATACTAATATATGACATTACACCAACACATTCCGCACACTAATTCTGAAATATTTTATTCTTCACATCCTTTACAGAAATAAATTAGCAGCGATAAATTGCACTAACCAATTCAGATTTTTTCTTTTTTAAAAAAATTTACTATTATTACTACTTTTTATGTCAATGTTGTAATATGTTAAACAACATCCAAATATATTCCAGTAAACCGAATAATTAGTTAGTTGATCAGGGGTGTAGGAAACATAATATATTATTATTGACTGTTAAAGGAGTTATAAAATAAAAATATCCATTTGGAAAAAAATAATAAATAAAAAAATAAATATTTTTTTTAGTTCAAAAGAAAAAATAAATATTTTTTTAGTTCAAAAGAAAAAAGAGAATAAGCCGCCAATACTTTTTTTTTTTATTTAAAACGAAATAAAGATAAAAAGAACAATTCAATCAAAAAAAAAAAAGATATTGTATATTCAAAGATTTTTTTTTTCTAGGATTTTTTGAAAAATAAATTTATACTCACAATAATATACTTTAAAATATAAAAAAGAACTATGATATCATAAAACTACTTATTGATCAGTAAAAAATACAATTTCCCCACATTTTTTTTTTTTTTACTTTATTTTTCATAATTTAGAATCTTTTTTACTTAGTGTTAGGCGTAAGTAAATTAATAAATTTTTAATTTCTTTTTTTATCTTTTTTTTTTCTTTTTCTTTTTTTCTTTCCTCAAGAATCCACAAACGTACACAGAAAGAACTTTATTTTGTATATATTATAAATATAAATAATATCAATTATAAATATTTTTTCTTTAAATTCTAAATATTAATTATACTTAAATAAATAAATATATACAAATTATATATATTTGCAACAATAAAACACATTTATTCCAAAATTATAAAATGAATCCACAACAACACCAACAACTACTAGGATTATATGGCCAACAACAACAACAACAACAACAACAACATCAACATCAACAAGGAATAAATATTATTCAGACTTCACCACAACCAATTCCTCGTCTTTCACATCCTACGAGTTATCATTTACAACAAACTCAATTAAGGCAACAACAACAACAAACTCAATTAAGGCATCAACAAAAAGCTATTGCTGTAAACGATGGGGCTCCTAACGTTGTAGCTCCTAACGATGGAGCTCTTAACAACGGATCTCTTCCAACTCCAAACAACTCTTTCAACAACGGTTCTACAATAGACCCTACTCTTATAACAGCAGGTCAGCAGCTACATCAACCTTCTTACAACGGAGCTACAAACGTAATAAAACAAGAATCTACCGATATTCAACAAACTGAAATGGACTTCGATCATCCTCAGCAGTTCCTATCACCGCAATCAGATTCTCCACTAGGATCGCCTACAAATCTCGATGCTGAAGAGTTTGGTCAACCCTTCAATCCTCAAGGTCATATAGAAATTCTAGAAATTCCTTCGCCTTACCACGCCGATTCACCTCATAACAGTTACAATTCTCAAACGAGTATGTCTTTACCGGTTCAATTTGCTGCTAATAATAATGAATGGTTTAATCCAAATTTTGAAACAGGTTCTTCTTATCCATTGTTATATTCTACTACTACCCCTGAAATGAATTATTTGTCTACTATCATGGATCCAGATGTGGGGGATGGTGGTGCACAAAAGGCGTATGTATTTTTATGAATGGTGATGAATGGGATTGAATATATATAACATGAATATATTTATATTTATGCATTTACTTTTTTGTAGTGCAATGTTAAGTGAAAAGAAACGCCGTAGAAGAGAATCACATAATGCTGGTAAATATCATATTTACATACACGTGTACGCACGCGTGCGCACATTATATATTATTATATGTTAACATGTTTATTCTCTGTACATTATTATTTATTAAGTTGAGCGTCGTCGCAGAGATAATATTAATGAGCAAATTCAGGAACTTTCTAGGTTACTTCCAGATGTATTTATGGATTCTTCTAATAAACCCAACAAAGGTCTGATTCTAAGAAAATCTGTTGATTATATAAAACATCTTAAAAATACTGTAGACGTACAAAGTAATCAAATGGTAAAATTAGAATCAAAATTTAAACAATTAGAAACTAGTGATACATCTTCATTCTCATTTGTTAGTAAAAATATTAGCAATATTAACAATAGTAATAATGATAATAAATAATAATACATAATAATAATATATATTTTTATATATTTGTTGTATCTTATTTTAGTATATAGATAGAGTTATATACTACATATAATATATTATGTTATATTATGTTATTTATTTTGTATAAATCTTTTTTTTATTGCCTTATTATTTATATTTAAACATCATATTTTTCTATTTTATTTCTTTCTCCACAATATACAATACATAACTTATCTTCGCAATAAATTTTCTTCACCTATTATTCTTTTTGTTTATATATAAATATTTTTTATTTTCCTGGTGAACAATAATTCTTTTTTCTTCTCTTCTTAATTGTATTTATTTGATTTCTGATTTTTTTTTTTTTAATAAAACCAATTTTTATTTTTAATAATGGTAACACCAAAAATTTTATAGGAATCTTTGATTGTAATAATAATAAACCTATTTTTTGAATTTACAGTCGTGATTCAATAAGCATACAAGAAAATTTGCAGATTCTTTCCAATAGAGCAGCCGATAAGGGTAAACCTTGCTCTTTCAACCTTATTGGTGTTGTAAAGATAAAAGGACTTCAATAAT